GGTAGCAAACCTAATCTGGGTTCTGTGGTTATTATTCTTTCTGCTTGGGATGGCAGGCACGTTCTGGAAGTCTGACATGCACTGACCTCACTAAAATACTCATGAGGTAAGTGTCATCATCATTCCCATTTTCCAGATGGGGTCACTGAGGCACAGGGGGTTTGAAGCACTTCATTTCTAGCAACATGACCTTGGTCATTTAACTTCCATTGTGCCTTTGTTTCCTCCCCTTCATTAGGACTACTATTTGCTGCTTCCCTGGGTGTTTGAGAGGATGAAGGGTACAAGGCATAGTATAGTGGGGTGTGCAAGTGCTGAGGACATGATAGTTATCTTACATGTATTTTCCTAGAAACCTCCCAAGATTGGTTTGCATAGGAAAGACAACCTGGATTTGCATTTCTGGGTCTTGATTCTCCAGAGAAAGAAGAGCAGAGACCTGTTTACCTTTGGTGTGCAGGTGAAGAATTTCCAGGAAGGTGAAGGGATATCTTAGGCCCATCAAGGGATGGATAGCTAAAGAAAATGTGGCAAACAGCGGAATATTATTCAGCCTTGAAAAGGGAAGGAAATCGTGCCAAGTGCAAGAGTGTAGATGGACCTAGAAGACAGTATGCAAGATGAAATAAGCTAGTCACAGACAAATACCACATGGAACCCACTTACATGAGACAGCTAAAATATTCACACTCAGAGAATCTGTAAAACCGTGGTGGTTGGGGGAAGGGGGAAGTAGGGAATTGCTAATCAAGTGGCATCAAGTCTCAATGATACAAGGTGAACACGTTGTAGAGATGTTCTGTACGATGTCACACCTGTAGGTAGTAGTATGGAATCATGCACCCAAAAATTTGTTGAGAGGGTAGGTCTCATGTTAAATGTCCTTACACAATAAAATTTAAAAAAGAACAGGGGCACCTGGGCAGCTCAGTGGGTTAAGCATCAGCCTTTGGCTTAGGTCATGATCTCAGAGTCCTGGGCTCAAGCCCCAAGTCGGACTCCCTGCTCGGTGGAGAGTCGGCTTCTCCCTCTCCCTCTGTTCCTCTCCCCTACTCGTGCGTGCCTTCTTAAATGAGTTTAGAAGAGAACGAACAGAGTGGGGGCATTGTGAAGGAGAATGCATCAACTCTCTAGGAACCAGAATTGCCTCAGTGAGCCAGGAGGTTCTGGGCCTCTGAAAGATGTCTGGTCCTTGCTGACTGTGCCCCTCACTGACTTTTCTGGAAGCTGTCTAATATCTGTGAACTCTTCATTCCTGAAGACAAATTTTTCCTTTCCCTCTTACACTCAAATCATCTGATTTCCCGTGGCGGCTGTGGAGTGTCTGGGGCCAGGCGGAAGGCCACAGGGCCACACCGAGCTAATCATCCCCATTGTGGAGGCCTCTCTGAGTAGACGACATGTATTCATCAAAAGTTGTATTAGAATCGATGGTGGCGCCTGGTCCTGATATCACAAATTAACCAGAGGAATCGGCCACTCTCTGATGGTCAGATTAGCTTCATTGATTGTAGTGTTTCCTGTGTCTGGTTTTGCTTGGACAAGTTCTGCGAGAAAGTGGCAGAGTACGTGAGCTTTTGAAATGGGTGGATTGTGGAGATTTTCTGCACAGGGCCAGATTTGCAGTCCTCCGTTAACAAGGAAAGAGAGCAACCCAAGAATAATACTTGGGCTGTGTCTCATGAGAGAGGATGAAGATGACTGCAAGGACAGACTCTTAGTCTCTGCCTTTGTGGTAACTCCTAGCTTTGGGATGGAATTTAAATTCATGTTTTTGGACATCGGTACTCATCCAGCTGATTCTTGGTCTTCTGATGAAGCCAAGAAACAAAGCAAAACCAAAAAACACCACCCAAAAATTGGCTCCTGTGTGTGAGGAGAGCTAGGAGGAAGAAAGCCAGTCAGGTGGGCTCCTGTTCCAGTCAGAGTGAGTTAAACGGTGCTGCAGTAAGAGAGATCCCCACGTGTCAGTGACAGGAAGTGTAAGAGGTTTATTTCTACCCCTCAAGAATTGATCTCCTCTCTACGCTAGCCTCGCTCAGGGAGACAGGACCTTGAGCATCGGGAGTGTGGTTGGGAGCTGTGGAGGAAAGGGGAATATGGCAAATTGTGCCTTGGTTTTGATCACTGCTCTTGGCCACAGCAAGTCACTTGGCTGTGCCTAATTTGTGGGGCATAGGAAATATAGCCCTATCCTGTTTCTAGCAAAATAAGAACAGAAATATTTGTCAAGAGTTTTATGGAAAACCGGCTCCCCCGTATCCATTTCCATCTCAACCTAGGCTCCTATGAGCAAAGAGGGTGATACCCCTCGGACTCTCCCACCTCCAGTAGAGAAGGGGGAGCTAAATGCTCTTCGGTTTACCTGTTAGCCAAGTAACAGGCTGTATGCTATAGCGAGTTTAAGAATCAGACAAGTACAAGTTCGCTACCTCCTCCAGATGACTTTGGGCAAGTTACCAAACATCCTCGAGCTTTCCCCGCCTCTTTTGTGGCTGGGACAGTAGTAGTCCCTGCGCTGCAAGTCATTTCTGAAGCTTCCGTGGGATAGCACGTGCCAGGGCTTAGTTTGGCCCCTGGTACCTGGTGTGTGCTCGAGAATGTTAGAGCGACAAGCCTCGGCTTCTCTTTCTGTTAAAGGGCAGGGAGAATACCTCCTTATGGGGAGATGGTCTGTACCCAGCAAATGATACCTTGGAGTCACTTCGTATATGGTGCCTGGCTGGGGGCCAGTGCTCAGAAAAGGCATCTGAGAAGCTGCTTGGATTCTCGAAGGGCCTCTGGACAGAAAGAAGGGGAAAGGTGAACATCAGGGGAGTTCAGTTGGGTGACAGGAGCAGGAACCGTGCCTCACGGGGGTGATTTCTCACAAGGTGCGTGGGCAGGTAGGAAAGCCTGGAACCAGATGTCAGAACTGGCAGTTTCCCCTTCACAGACCAGGATATAATGTCAGCCCTGTGTGTCACCAGGCATCGTGCTATGACCCAATACAGACTTAGCTCTCTCTTCTTAGTATCTCTTTTCTCATCTCTACCCCATTACCTCCTACCTCCTGCTGCCTTGAGCTCTCAGTGCCCTGTGGCCCTACTTACTGTCCCTGTTTCTGTGTGACTTCTTGCCACCTGATGGGCCGCTGGCCAGACTTGAGATGGCTCTTTGGAGGTGACATGGCTCTTCTAGATCCTTGTAGCTGGGCAGGAGTTGTTGGGAACGGAGCCAGATCTTGTGGTACAAAGCCAGGCGGTGGTGCTCACGGGGACAGAGTGATGGGGGGTCAGGGGGGCTTCTGTAGCTGAGTAGAACTAGCTGCCCAGGCCGTGGGTGCACGGCCACATCCCAGCTTCACCACCAGCCAGCCGGGCAAGTTGCAAATAGTTCCTTCCCTCATGTGCAAAACGAGAATGAGAGCTGTGTCCAACGTACAGAGTGCTCATGAGGATTTAAGAGTCCGTTTTCAGTTCTTAAGGCCTGCACTCTGTAGGGGAACTGGGTGCTTGATGCTTGGGAGATGGAGCAAGGGCAAGAAGGGGGCAGCCAGGTACAGCTTCTTTTCCAGACCGTTACTGGGCCAGATGGGGGCGCTGGGGGCAGGGACACCTGAACCAAACCCAGGGGATGGGAACTTGCTAAATTCCTAATGCTGGAGAGCTGGTGTTTGCATACTTTTTCTGAAAGGGGTAGATAGAAATATTTAGGCAGGCCAGATGGGTAGTATTGCCATGCTCGTTCCTGCTATCATAGTAGGAAAGCAGCTAGACAGTACGTAACCGAACAGGTATGGCTGCTTTTCAATAAAACTTTATTGACAAAAGCAGATGATGCACAGGATTTGGCCCCCAGGGGCCACAGTTGGCCGAGCTGCTAGAGTACGGGCCCTGGGGCATGCCAGCTGCCCTGTCAGCCACTGCCAGGCACCAGTCCTGTCTCCGTGGTTCTGTCCCACCGTCCTCTTCCCTGGGAACTGTTAACAGACACATTTAAGAGACCCAGAGGGGAGGTCTTCCCTCAAATTGCTACTCATGGCCATTGTGTTTCTGTAGCAACGGGGTAGATTTGTGGAGCCAATTAGCATTCTCTGTGACTTTAGCGGTCCCCTCTGGGGTTAGCTTTGGAGGAGTGGATACTCTTTCAGGTTAAGGTATTGGTAATGGACTCAAAGCAGCAGCAACATACTTTGGAAGTGATACGGGGTATTAGTCGAATGGTACATTTGCTCTCAGCTCAAAGCTGCCAGGCCCTTCCTATGCCTGGGGAAGCTGAGTTGGGGCCTCCTGCCCTCTGGGAAAGATCCATACTGTGCATTGTCTCCAGAATGACTCTTGACCTTTCTCTTGCCCTCCCGGGTGACTTAATCAGTTCTGTCCCAGGTACAAACTTCAGGAGTCAGAGACCAAACACAAAAGTGTCACAAGCTTGCATCCTTCCCGGGATTCATTATAAAGATCATAACGCAAAGGGTACATTCCCCCCCAAAACAGCTAGGAGGTCTCTGCCTCAGAATTAATTCTGGCTCAGTCTGATTTCTCTTATGGGCATAGAACTGTGAGCGTGTCCTAAAGGCAGTGGAATGTGATATCCCACCGATGTTTTCTTCCCTTATAATTTTATTATGGCATTTCTAGCCCTTAAATGAACCATCACGGAACTCTCTGCTAGAATTTAAACAGGAAGCTGCAGCAAAATGTCCGTAATCCAAAGGCAGAGACACTCAAGAGAAACTTACTTGAAGGTGTGGTTAGTAACAAAGCATTGAGAATCATAGAGCACTTGAGAGTTTTCAAAGCCTTAGTAGTTTCTGGTTGGAACTGCTCTTATTTCCAGATGGGGAAATTGAGGTTCAGACAGAAAACTCTACTTTGAAGTTAAGCTCGTAGCAAAGGTATGGTATGAAACCGGGACGCAGACCTCCAAAACTCTGTGCTCCGCTCCGCAAGGGCCAAGCTACTTAGCATGACCACTCAGTGATGTTGCTCTTCTGTGTTCCTTCCCATCTTCTCCAGGATGGCTACTTTTCTCACCGTCCGAAAGAGAAAGTGCGGACAGACAGCAACAACGAGAACTCCGTCCCCAAAGACTTTGAGAATGTGGACAACAGCAACTTCGCACCCAGAACTCAAAAGCAAAAGCACCAGCCTGAGTTGGCAAAGAAGGCCCCGAGCAGACAGAAGGAGCTTTTGAAAAGGAAGCTGGAGCAGGAGGAGAAGGGGAAGGGACATTTGTTTCCAGGCAAAGGCACCAATGAGGTGCTGCCTCCCGGGGAGAAAGCCACGGTGAACAGTAGCCGTGGGAAGGATGCCCCAAGACAGCCCCACACCAGGAAAAGCGGGGGCAGCTCCCCCGAGCTCAAGCAAGACCAGCCCCCCAAGTGCGACATCTCGGGCAAAGAGGCCATCTCCGCACTGTCCCGCTCCAAGTCCAAACACTGCCGCCAGGAGATCGGGGAGACCTACTGTCGCCACAAGCTAGGGCTGCTGATGCCCAAGAAGGTGACACGATTCTGCCCCCTGGAAGGTGAGTTCCAGCCCCGGTTCCAATTCTTCCTCCTGCCCAGTCCCATCCTGCTCCCCATTTTCCAAACCCCTGATCAGCACACGAGATTTTTTTCCTTCTGGTACTGTCTGAATTCTGAAGTTGCGTATGAGAAAACGTTTGCAAAATCACATGACCTTTTGTTCCAGCTTGAACCAGTTGCCTCGATGGCAGCTGATAAAATAACGCAAAATCAGGGCTGGTGAGGAATCTGAGGTGATTGTATCAATTAGCATTCGTTCTCTATCTCAGCGGAATATCAGGATTAAAATCGACACAAATTTATTGTAATTGAACATGACTTGAAAGGTTTCTAATTGGTTGCGTTGACTTCGGAGGTTCTAAAAAACCACCTTCCTGTTTTTCCTCCAGTGAAAATTCCTTCCTCCCTTCCATTCTTCCTTTCTCCCTCTCTCCTCCCCACCCTCTGTCTGTCCCCACGTCCTGTCCTGTGCTGGCCGCTCTTCTGTGGGCTGACGGCCAGTGACAAATGACATTCCTTGCTCTGCGGGCAGAGAGAGGTCCGAGCTCTAACAGCGGCGTTCGAAAGCTCAGCGGAGGGGCCCTCCGAAGGTGGAGGGGACATTTGCACAGGTGAGGTGTTACTTGTGTATCTCTGTGTCTGACGTGCCGTTGGCTGGGTCGTGCACCTGCGTTGCTGGTGTGCCTTACGAGGCGGTTACGCGCCAGGGGTTGCACAAGGCACCGTGCCTTTGATCAGCTCAGCCTATCCGCCGCCCTGTGAGGTTGGCCTGTCTCATGAGCTTCAGTTTTTTGTTTTTTGGGTTTGGTTTTTTTTTTTTTTTTTTTTTTTTTTCAGATTTTTAGGACTTGGGTCAGGTAGGGAGCGGCTGTGTAAGTGCTGTGGAAGGACACCCAGGAAAGCGCTCGCTTGTTTCCCGTCACGAAGGGTGCAGACACCTTCAGCTTTTAACTCACTGTCGGTCCATACTTTTTGAGTTTGCGGCAGTAAACAAGTATCTGGACTATACTGTCTTTTAAAAGGAAAGACGTAAAAAGAAAGGGTTTGTTTCTCCCTCACATTTCAACCCGAGTCCAAGCTGTCCATGCGGTTCACATTTCTGTTCTTGATGGGACTTGGCTGATGGAGTAGAGGGATAAATGAGAAGAAGAAGTTTCCAGAACCTTTTGTTAACCAGTGCCTGGCTTGGCAGAGGAGTATCAGAGGCCTGAGTTGAATGCCCTTCTGTGAAAGTAATATTGGGCGCTCATTATATACCAGGGGTCACAATTCTCCTCCTGCAAAGGTCGGAGAACAAATAAATGAGGCTTTGTGAGCCATACAGTGTCTACACCAGCCACCCGCACTGCCGTTAGAGCAAGAAGGAGTCATGGACAACATGTATACCTTGCACTCGGTTATCTTCCAATAGTATTCATTTGACTAAAGCAGGCGGTGGGTGGGGTTTGGCCGATGGGCTCTACCCACTCTGGATACTGAACCCATGTAACAGTCAATATAACACAGTTTTCACCTTATAGCGCATCGAATCCTCACACCGACCCTAGGAGGTAGGTCTGTTAGCAACCCATTGCATTGATGAGGACATGGAGGCTGAGAGGTTTAGTACTTGGTCAGAAGGCCATGGCTAGTGGACAGCAGAGCTGATCTATCCCAGGGTCTGCCTCCCTACCCATGGCCTTCCCCTCCTAAGGTGACAGAAGGTGTCCCTTGAGTTCCAATGATCAGACCTCAGGGAGGTCCTGCAGCCCGTACGCTGTATTCTTCTGTCCTCTGTATCCTTGCAAGGAGAAAGGAGGAGGGTGATGAGAAATCAAGAGGGCTGGCATCACCCGTAGAGGCCAGGGGCCCCCACGTTCCGCCTGGTCATGCTGAAACCACCCCCACCCCCACCTGGTGCAGTCACGCAGCGTGAGTTTGCTCGGGCTTTCCCCATGGACTCGCCCACGTCCGCCAAGATGGCACACCCTCCCGGGACCTCTGAGCTGGTTAATAAGATGGCATTTAAGAGCCATTGCACACCCAGCCCGGCACGGCCTTAATTTGCTGCACGACAGCCTCCCCTTTTGCAATAAATTTACTGTGAATAGACTAATTGCAAAATAACCCTAATTGGGTAGTTATCAATGAACAACTTCCCGTGGAACAAAACGGCTTACAATTAATAGCATTTAAGCCATAAACTATTCTTCTGCAGAAAGCTAAGATGTAATTACACCCCATACGGAGATTGTATTCCCTTTCTGGAAACCATGACACCCGGATTTCCCTCCACTTAGGAGAGATTTGAGCTTCAGCCCTGTGGTCCTTTTATTTCCTGCTAAATGAGGAGATGGAGGTGGGAGGGGAGGGAGATGTAATATGTGTGTAAATACATGCACACAGATGCACGCGCTGGCTTTGTCACCATAACGGAACTCCACATCGCCCAGACTGCAGCCAGCAGGATGCCGGAAGTTGGATATAACGGTGGGCAGCCGGAACCATCCAGAGGGAAGGAACTAGAGTTTGAGTGGTGACTTTCATAAAGGGCTCCTGCTCCCTGCACTCACACCCATCCTCCCCTCACCTTAGTACCACTCAAGGAAGAAGAAGAGTCTAGAACCCCAGGAACCGGGTTGCTTCCTACAGAGATGTCCCCTGCCTTTGTGAGTTGCCTACTTCACGCTGCTCCTGGAGAAAACAGCGGGAAGGGTGACACATTTTCGCAAGGGAAGGGGGGATCTGTATACCCACCCCCCATTGATGGCCACCAAGAGTGAGCTACATTGAGGGCTCTACCCCCATCCGCTCTCAACCCTGGCCTCAGGGTTATTTCTGATCCCACACAGGGACCCTGAGCTCACTGCAGCCACCAGACCATCCCCTGACCTCCCCTCTTCCTTAACCAGGCAGCCCCACCCCCACCACACCCACCCCACAATTGCCTGAGCCTCCTGTCCCTTCCTCGGGCTCCTAGGTCAAACCTCCTGTCACTTCAGCTGGACTGCCTACTGTTTCATGGAGATGCAGCCATGTCAGATGGAATGCCAAGGGTGGCCTGGGCTGGAAAAAAGAGGTTTTCTCCAGGCACTGGGTTTTGAATCCTGGTTGTGACTTTACTAGGTGTGTGACTCTAACCTCCCATTGCCTTAACTTCCTCATCTGTGAAATGGACACAGATTCTCCTACCTTTCCTCCTAGGATTGCTGGCCATAGTGGGGACATGAGTATCAAATGCTTGGTGTGGAGGGGAGGTAGAATGAAGGTGATGTTGGGCTGTTGGCATCAGTGGTGTTAGCCAAGGGGGCATGAAGAAGAGGAGAGAATGGAAGGCCTCCTTGATGGTGATTTTCTGTTTCCTGGCCGCATCTCTCTTGCTCCATCCCTCAGACGTGGACCCCGAGTGGCTCAGGCATCGACTTTTGCTCTTTGTAGGCCCCTCGCTGCTGTTACCTGCACCCCCCCATTGCACCCCACCTTATCTGGCCGCCTCCTCGGGGAAGTCTTCTTGGACCAAGTCTCCCCCAGAAGCCCTGGCCACAGGGATCGTGCTAACCCTGGCCAAGGGCAGAGGTAGCTTTCCTGATGGATGCCTTCCTTGATAAAGACCGTTTTGCCTGTAACCGGCATTCTGGTGCCAGGTGCTGGTAATACGGCTTTTAATGCCTCGTTACAGCAGGAACAATTACATATCTGGAAGCTCTGTCGAGCCTTCCTCCATCTTGAGTGAAAATGTCCCAAGAAAGGCCCCCTTGGTGCGTCTCCCCCACCCCCCCATCCCTCCTCAGTTCACCCTCTGCTGTGTCGGGTGGGGCCAGTGGACTCATGCTGCCAGCGGCCTGCGTGTCTGCAGCCTTCATTTTTAGGTGGAGAACGAGTGGGGAGCAAATGTGAGAAGTTCCAGAGAAAGCAGTCGGCAGGGAGGAGGGGCAGCCGCCACCTGACCAGGAACTCAGGCCTGAGCAGCTGGGTGACACACGGTGGCTCTCCCACGGGCGACAGGCAGGGGGTAGTTCCTTTGAGTCAGCCGACCAGCTACAGGGCTGCAAGCCTTTGCACGTGACCGGGGAAGCCGGCTCAAGTCTTAGGGCTGGAGATGGACTGAAGGGGGATTTCCGATAGAAGGGCAACTGTTCTGGGATGTGACAGCAGTGTTTACCCATGAGCCTTTGCAGGAGGCCAGAGGCTCTGGATACTTGGGCTTCTGGACGGAGGTCTCTGGCTGCCCGCTCCAGAGAGAGTGGCAGATGGCACTTCCAGCTGTGGGAGGGCTGTCTCCTGTCCATCTCCGCACACTGGGGGCAGTGCGTGAGGAGACAGGCTGTCTCCTGTCCATCTCCGCACGCTCCCCAGCGTGAGGAGCTGGATTCCAGGAAGCATGGCTGGCGGCCCGGCATGGAGGGACTGTTCAGGCATGGATGTCAGCTAGGCCAGTCTCTGTGCCCTGAGATGCGTGCCTCAGTTTCCCCACCTGTCAGCCAGAGACCCTGACTCCTCCCAGGCTTTCTGCTGATGAGGGAATGAGGGAGCAGCTGTGGAAAGCTAAAAAGCACTGCACTAAGCGGGGAGTGGTGTGGCAAAGTCTAATGGATCCAGGCACAGCTTGGCTAAGTGGCCGGGGCTGACTCGCTTTCCAGAAATCCAGGTTTGCAGAGGAGCCAGTCAGACCCTTCCTGCTGAGGAAGGCACGAAGGCCAGTAGAAAGGAGGGATTTCAGCATAGTTTGCTGGGATTGGGCAAACCTCGTCCCAAAGGCGTTTCTTGGTTTTCTCAGGGTGCAGAAACGGTTAGCTGTAGACCCACTCATTGGTCACCCACGAGGCAGTGTCCAAAGCCGCGGCTCCGCACGTGTTTTCCGTAAAGGGCCAGAGAATAAATAGGTTTTGTAGGGCGTGTGGTCTCTGTCACAACTCAGCACTGTCCGGAAGCGTCAATATAGAAATACATGAGCAGCATGGCGGTGTTCCCTGTGACATGGTTTAGGGTCACCAAAATGTGGATTTCACATAATTCTCAC